AACTTTTTATAGGTGGGGTGATCCATAACAAAGAAGATGTCTTGTCAAAGTCCTATGTACGTTTGCCAGCAGAAGTTAGGGACGCAGAAAGAGAATCTTTTGTACTTCATATTCCTGGTGGAAATAATGATCTAGATGATGGAGAAAGGAAAGCTACAAAAATAAAAGTCGCAGCAATTGCTGCTCAAGCAGCCTCAGATCTTATGCCAGCTGAAGTTGCAAAGGCATTTTGGGGCTCAGACAAGGCTACATCAAAGGTGAGCTCATGATGAATCAGCGGACCACTATTATTGACGCTTGTGATCAGAATTCATATTTGACCTCTATAACTGTATCTCTGCTTTTAGATTATATCTGATTGGCGGTGTGCAATTAGCCAATACTTTACCTTGCTCATTGTTTCATTTACATGATAGTGTATATTAAATTTAGAGCATTCATATTTTTTTGGTGCGACTCTGAAAGCAGATGTTAAATGCATTTGAATGTCTTAGAAAAACTCCCATAAACTAGACCTTCTTCAACAACGTTGTTATGATGCTGACAAACTGTCAAAGTTCTTTTTATAGGTTTCTAAAGATGTTCGAGAGGTCATCAAACTTGCAGTTAGCCAAGCTCAAAGAAGGAATAGATTGGCTAATACAACTTATTTCAATCGAATAGTTACGGACAATAATGGCTTGGATCCTTTTGATGGTATATATGTTCTGTAAGATACATTTTGTAGTGACGTAATTCTGCAGAAGTTTCTCAAAGGTTAGTATCCACTGTTAACATGCAGGTTTGTATGTGGGTGCTTTTGGTCCCTATGGCACTGAGGTCGTACAGTTGCGGCGTAAATACGGTCGTTGGAACAATAATGATGAAGATGATTCAGAAATCGAGTTTTTTGAGTACGTTGAAGCTGTGAAGTTGACTGGCGATCTTAATGTACCAGCTGGGCAGGCAAGGGATTGACCTCTACTTCTCCACTTTTTTATTCTTTGCTTGCTTCTAGTAATATTTCTTTATTGATTCTTACAACAGGTTACTTTTCGTGCCAAAATTGGCAAGGGTAGTCGTCTTGGAAACCGAGGACTCTATCCAGAAGAGCTTGGTGTGGTAAATTTTCCTCCCTCGTATACTTTTTCTAGTTACCAGCATATGGGTCTATTTCAAGTATGACTAGCTTGACTCTTTTGGAGTTTTTTTTAATAACTTCATGGACTGCCTTGTTTTTTTTCTTGTTTTTTTTGAAAGTGAAAATAGGGGTTTCCCTATCAATATATTACTGTAACCAAAAGTATGAACTTACAAAGGAAGATATCTGCGGCTGATTAAGGCCTCAACTCTGAGATGGAATTGAAGACCCAATCAGCAGAAGATGTCTAGGAGATTTACATCAAAACATCGAATAACTAACTAACTACAAACCAAAAAGAAACCACCGCCAAAGACCCAACGGGTCAGAAAATGCCAGCAGGACCTCCACGACAGTTAAGGCATCGAGTTGCTGTCCTCGCTCGACTCTAGGATTGCTGGAAGTCCAACGTCGATAATGAGCTTCTTCATCTTAAGCGACTTCTTGGCGTTGGAGGCCCCTGACCATGAAAGAATGAAATTAACAGACTTCTTAATGGTTTGGTGAGGGGAAGACGAGAGGTTAGAGAAAAGGAGGTCATTTCGTGCTTTCCACATAACCCAGCTTATGATGGGGAAACAGACCCCCCATAAGAGTCTAACAGAGGCATGAATAGATGTATTAGAGCAGACTGCTAGACACTGTTCGATCGATGGAATCTGGGATGGAGCCAATGCCTAATTTGAGAAGAAAGGGAACCCAGATGCGTTTAGTTCGGATACATGAAGTGAAGAGGTGGTCGTGAGATTCTTGCTCGGAACAATAGAAGCAGCACGAGTCAGCTAACCAGCCTTGAGAGGCTAGCCTATCTTTGGTCTTCAGTCTAAGAGAACTAAGGAGCCAGAAGAAGATTTGGACTTTGCTAGGCAACATATTATTCCATATTATGGAGAGGCTAACCTGTTTTTTTTCTTATTGTATGGGCAGTTTTATATTTTGTTATTAGATATAATGTTGCATACAAGTACCAATATTTTCTTATAAAAATGTATTTTTTTTCTTTTGGCTAATTAAGAGAAGAGGTTACGTTGATCTTTCAAAATTGTTGACCTTTTGGACATAAGTGTTCAGGAGTTCTTTAGGTACAAGTCTGTTATTCGAGTGAAAGTTAGCCCAAAATCTTATGTAGCAGACACAACACGATATTACCGACTTAACAAATTGGATGGTTATTAATGTACATGCCAGTTATGCTCTTGACTCATTTGGACCTGCAAGCATTTTTAAAAAAAATACTTATACTTGCATTTCTTAAGAATAAGGACCATAATGATTTCTAGATAACATTTAGCTGATATAGATATTCAATTATTCATGTCCAAGCTGTTCTTGTTTTATTTCGTTGGTTCTTGGGAAATAAACCATAACTTTTAGTTGTCAGCTGGTATGAAGACATGCCCTTTATGTGGTTTCTGTTACTTCAAGATTGGTTTCTGATACCTTCAAGATGAGACCTACACGAGCTGTGCTAAATAAATAGGCTTTTGTACCCCATAGTTGTGTAATTTAAGTTGTTGGCCATTAGCATCTTTTTCTAAGCTTTTTCCACAAATTGGGGCTACTATAGAGTATCACGCAGGAAAGGTCAGGAAAAGAAGGCAATTGAATTTTTTAGTTAATGACTAATGAGACACTAGACCTTGATGGTTTGTTTAGTTTCCTGGCTATGGCATCACTGGGAAACTGATAGACGTGCAATGAGACCTTGACTGCCAATCGAGTGAATGTATTGATGATTTAATCAAACTAAAATTTTTATAGTATTCTTTTGGAAAGTTAATAGTGATATAGGAAAAGTACCTGAATTTTACTTGATTTAGTATCTAACTGGGTAATTATTTCTAAAATGTAGGTTGCAAGTTATAAAGGTCAAGGAAGAATAGCTGAACCTGGATTCAAGAACCCGCAATGGGTTGAGGGAGAGCTCCTCCAGCTTAATGGAAAGGTAAATGCATGCCTATGGTCGGATTTCTCTATTGTATGCTAATAATGCTATATTATTGCCGTTGGTGCATGATTGTAATGCATGCACCTGGATTTTAATAGATTTACCATCTAATAGTTCGGTGGTGCATGATGGTAAATGTACAAGTTTTAGGAACATGAAACAGGAAGTTGTGCTTAATCCCTTAAAATTATTTTTTATTTGCAACCACAAAAAAACCTAATGTATGTGATTCACACATGCAACTGTCAAATAGAAACTACAGTTTCTGAATCATTCAATTCCTGTTTCGATGAAGTAAATTGTCAATAACACCCCTCATCTATATTGTCAATAACACTTATCATCTATCAACTCATTTATAAGCATTCATCAACTAACACTTATCACCTATGAACTCATTTATAATCACTCATCAACTTCTAAATTTT